TTATGTCCAGATTAAAAATTAATAAGTTTGCATTTGTCAAACTGCATGCTCATTAATTTTCTTCTGTAGCATTGCCCACTGATCTTATGAATAATGCCTTTGTAGCGGCAGCCCTGTGATTATCATCTTTGTCTAGTCTCTCTGCACTATGCATTTTTTTTGTAAATTCTTTAAAGATCTGAAATCCGTTGCAATTCTCATATTGTTCCTCAAGCACCCATTGTTTCTTTTCATAGCGGTATTTGTTTCATTATAGGAAGTTCTTTGTATTGTATTGATTAAATTTATCTCTGAGATCTACACAATTCCTACTGCAAGTTTGTTTCCTATTATTCTTTGATATTCTGTTATTGCAGTGTTACGAGGACGCTTTTGATCACCAGTCTGGACTGTGTAACTGGTTTCTGTGCAAACTTCCATTTCTTTCAACTTTATTCTAGTATTTTTATTCAAGCGTTTTAGCCAGGCATCCAGACAGAAAGCAGTTCTCTGTCAACACACATCCTTTTAAAATGTTAAGACTCCTCTCACATCCAGAGATAATTCATCATTTTTCTTGGCCATTATATTCCTATCACTCACATACTTCACTTTTGCAGAGGTTGGTACTTCTAATATTTCTGCTATAGAGTTTTATAACTCATTTTCCCTGCTTTAGTCAACTGGAAATTATAAAACACGGTAGATGTTTCAAAACACCTGTTTATCCTTAGGAGGGAGTGGGTTATAGAGCCATGCATCATGTTGAGGGTGGATGGACTTCAGCACTGTGTGACAGACGCTCTAAGAATGAGAGGAAGAAGAGAGAATGAAGGGAATTAAGGAAGCCTGAAGTACATTGTATGAGGGGAGCTGGGTTCTGTCACTCTTGAGAAATGAAGGGAATTGACATGCAGAATGGAATGGAAGAGGATCAGGATGAGGGGCAGTTGTTTCTGGAGGGTGACATGTTTTCTCTGCTGTACTCAATCCACACTGAAGTAAAAGATTGTCACTGTGAACTAAGAACCATACTATGAACCTGAGAGTCAGTACGAAGAGTGATTGCCATCACTAACCCAGAAGCCAAGGAATCTATTCCTTTCCTTTTATAAAACAGAACTGATCAGGTCCCAGGTTTGTTGTTTTTCTGCCCTAAGATCCAGTGCCTGAGACTTAACTGCATTTTGATTCAGTGAATCCATCAGGCTTTCGATATACCTCACCTTCCACTGTGATTCATTTCATGTCTACGTGAGAAAGCTTAAGCAGTTATCATTTCTGTGCTTGGGCTGTGAGGGAACAACTCAGCTGCTGGATGGACACTGGCCAAGGATGTGCAAGCTGAGTAGGGTCTAGAAAACTGTTGGACCTGATGTAGAGAATTGTAGAATGTAAAAAGCTATGAGAATCTGCCAAAAGTTACAGACAGCACCATGAGGAATACTTGAACCTCAGAGGTGATTAAGGCAGAGTTATATGAGAAACAGCCAAAGTCCACAAGTAATTGCACTGGTGCATTAGAGGCCACAAGGGCCTTGGAAGGCCATTAGCACCCAGATAGCCTTGTAAAGAAAACCATGAAAAATAGATTTATGATGATCTCACTTATTCTGCCTTAATGTATCACGTGCTGGAAAGTCTCATCATCCATTTCAGTCCTTACCAGTCCTACATGTGGTGTTATTCATTAGTGTTTTCATTTGACTCAGAAGCATAGTTTAGAGGAGAGCCTCCTGATCATTCCCAATTCCCATTATTTAAAGTGAGCTGAGCTCACGGGGTTTTAACTGGATTCCTCTCCTGTGAAACTAAATCAAGGTTGGGCTCCAGAAAGGCTCCCTGCTTCTAATGGGAGCTCAGTTATTGCAAGCAGAGTACAACTAGCAGGAGGCAAATCCCACTGATTGCTGTGCTACACGAGGGGCAGTACTGCCATCCTAAATAGAAGCAGTGTGGGTATTGGGTCCATGGCACTGACCATTTTGCTGTGCAGTTGGGATGTGCTGCTTGCTAATAAAGATCTGCAAAGGTGTTGTCCATCTTGCTGTGCTCCTGAGAGGGCCTGCTCATCTGTACTGCCCTTGGAAAGCTGTATTAGCTGCCAGTAGGTATTGCCTGCCGCACCAGCGAGTGTCTCCCCAGCAATGTCAGCCGTGTCTGTTGTTTGCTGGTTAGATGCCTGATACCCCACACAGGATTAAATGTAAGGCTATGTTCAGTCCCCAAATGCTCAGTCATATTCCCCAGGTTTGGAAAAGAGAGCTTGGTATAGTGCTCACATGGTCTGTGTGTTCCTACTGATCCATAGTTTTCCTTAATCAAGTTTTTTTGTACATACACTTGTAATAAAAGGAGCATTATTGTGACATTTTACACTATGATGGGAAGAGATGCTGTGTTAAAATTCAGTATTTAACCCTATGTGTTTCACAAGAATAAACCTCATTAGGTGTCCTCCACAAAGAAATGTGTAGTATCTCACAACCTCAGCCTGTGGTTTCCAACAGCTATAGAAATAAGCTCCAAGTAGTGACAGAAAACAGAAGAGGCAGGTTATAAAATGGTGTATTGTAAGAAAACCTGAGTTTGTTCAGGAACTAAAAGAGAAACATAATTACCATTGTTACCACTGGAGGGGCATATTCCAGATATGCATTATAAAATCATATTGCTGATGTCTTAGCTGTACAGAATCCTCATCAAAACAATGAGCCAAATATTATTATTTTGCTTTTTCTACATCTGAAAAAAGATACAGTTTCTAAATTCTAAGTTTATTAGTAGTCTTTCCCTGAAATATAATTTTTGCAGCTTTCTGGCATTTGTTGGGTTTTTTGGGGTTTTTTTCCCCCTCAGATTCTTTAAAAAACAACAGGGAAGAAACTCCCTGCAATCACTAGGTAGTATCTTTGTAACTATTAAAACTTAATTCTACTGAAAACTCCATACCAATTTTTTTCAGAAGAAGTAATCAAATGTGTGATTTTTTTTTTTTCCAGAAAACTAGAAACATCTCATCATGGACTTTTATATTATGCTATGGTCCTTTCGGACATTTCAGTGAGATTTCAGTGATAAGCTAAAATGCCAAAGATAATTTAACTGTAAAAATAAAAATACTGAGACAATTATGTCTTATCTTAATTTTTCTAGTTTCAGTTGCAAACAAATATGTCAATTTTCAAATTTAAAAATGAAATAATAGTTCACGTTTATTAAGTTAGGATTTTATCATGATTTGCAAAATGTTGACTTAGCATGGAGCCAGATCTTGAGCACTGGAGCTGCGGGATGTAGCCTTTGTATTCTCTGGAAAATCAAAAATCCCTTGAGGCTGGATCTTCTAACATAGATAAAATAACCTGAATACTTATGGTTAGGAGTATAGCATTTTGCAAATGTTTTTGGTAGCAAGCAGTGTGTAAATTAGTCAATGCTGAAATAAATGAACTTAATGCAGAATTAAATAAGCTAAATTAGTAAGAATTGTATTCTGTTGTTACAGTTTTTATATCTTATCTAAATGTTCATAAACTATTATTTTAGTGTATACTAAAAAGCTGTAACCTCTTCACCATTTTCAAGCAAATTAGTTTACTGCTTTTTCTGTGATAATGTTTTCTGTATATACATATTTTCTTCTAAATTACATTTCGCAAAATATTTTTGAAGACCAAGAGTTCAATTCATCATTTCTTTAACATTATTTATATCTATCTTGTGTAGTAATGGATTGGATTTCCATTATGTTGTCATAGCCAGTGCCATTAACATGATCACCATTCTATGTCTTTGATTTTTATGGAGCAGTAACTACTACGAATATCTTTTGCAATTTACATTTGCTATCTGAAAACTTTGTGTAAGAAAGTGGATTGACATTTCAGAACATTACTCTAACATGTACTAGGATTATTAGGCTTATTTTATAGCTAGGAAATTGGGACCCAAAGATGGGTGAGCTATATCTAGGTGTGGTGATTCACCGTCTGAGCTGGTGTACACTGCATTGCATAGGTACCCTGAATTGGGACTGGGGCTGAAACTCAGACATCACTGGGTACTGAGAGCAGCTCAGGGGCCCTCGGCATCCAAAGCACATGGATCTGTCAGAGCAGGTCCAGAGGAGGGCCAGGAAGATGATCAGTGCTGGGGCCCTTCTGCTATGAAGAGAATTTGGGTTGCTCAGCCTGGAGAAGAGAAGGCTCAGGGTAAATTTATGGCACGTTTGAAGTACAGAAAGAGGGCAAGAAATCCAGGGAGGGACTGCGTGGAAAGGCACATAGTGAGGGGACGAGGGGTAGTGGCTTTAAAGTGAATGGGAGTAGGATTTGGGTAGGGAAAAGTTCTTCACTTTCAGTGTGGTGAGACACTGGAGCAGTTTGACCAGAGAAGTTGTGGGTGCCCCATTCCTGGGAGTTTAAGGCCAGGTTGGATGGGGTGCTGAGCAACCTGATTTAGTGGAAGGTGTCTGTTCCTGGCAGGAGCACTGACTACATAGTCTTGAGTAGTTCACACCCTTCACACCCAAACTATCCTGTGATTCTGTGTCTCAAATAAAAGTCCTAGGGCATATTTTTCTTTGGTGATACTAAAATGTACAGACTGCAGAGATTTGTTGAAGAACCTAAAGAGTTTACTAAACAATAGTGTTTCAAAATGGTTAAATGCATCTTTATTTTATGGGGTTTTTTGTTGTTAAGAGCCAAGATTCAGACAGATGAGTGCAGCTTTTCCATTATGGATTTAATATGTCAGTTCTTACTTCTGGTGTATTTAGCATTTTTTCACTGTGCTGATTGAAATCTGGTTTAGATGATAATTATGCTGGTTTTATCATTCAAACACTCAAAACTGATTTTTAAATCTTTAAGTGGCTTGAACTAGACTTTTATTTCTTAACGGATTTAAAAGTCTGCTTACAGTATGTCCTTCTGTCATGTTGTCTGTGAATGCTAAATCACTGCAAAATTAGTAGATTTCCAGTTTTAAAAACCAAATCCACCCTTTCTTCATAGGAGGAAGAACTAAGGAAAAGTGGAGAAGCCAAATACGCCCACTTGAGTGATGAGCTCCATGTATTAATTGAAGTGTTTGCTCCACCTGGGGAGGCGTATTCTCGTATGAGTCATGCCTTGGAAGAAATAAAAAAATTCCTGGTTCCTGTAAGTCGCTTATAACATTGTTCTTGGCAGGTTATGGTTTTGTTGCATTAAGTTTGTTCCTTTTTCAGACTAAGGACAAAACGCCTTCACCCTGTTCTGTTGAACTTTCGTCTTTCATTTTTTTGTCCCAGGGAGATGCCAAACAGGCCATTAAGTGTCACAGTTGATGTCCTGATATGTTTTCTAGCTATTTTATTATTTCCATTTGTCAATGTTTTTTGCTTTCCTCTTTTCTTTTCTGGAGGAACTAGTAGATTGCTTTTGTTTTCTGATTGCAGACATTAGTCATTTGTATAACATTACACTTTGAAGATTTTTGAATGTTCAAGTCTGTAAAAACATTTTAATACATGCAACAATTTACCTAAATATCTTGCTAATGAAGTTAATGAAGTTAATAAATTTCTTGTGCAGCAAACAGCGTGAGCAAAACACTCCTAGAACATTTCTGTTTACCTTATGACTCAGACCAGTTTGGCAATCTTCCATCAGCTAGGAGAGTGCAGAAATGTACTCTAAAGCTGTGAACTTTTTCTATTTGATCTATACTAAATATATCACTTTCTGAAATATTTACCTTCATATCTATTGATTTTCCTCACATTCTCTAAAAATTATCTTTTCCTCATTCATAACTAAATTCCATGCTATTTTCATACTTAAATTTGTCTTAGAATTGAAGCACATGCATGCTAAATATTAGGTGAAGTAGTACTAGAATTATGTGAGTTGTTTTCTCAGGTCTGTCCTGAGAGTTCTTAGTGCTCTAAAGATGTTCAGAACGTACATCCCTTAAGAAGAATATGATGAGACCTTGTTTCTATTTTTGATTGAAAAAATGAAGTGTATGTTCAGGTCTCTTGATAATAATGGAAGTATTTAAATAATGCCCTTTTAAAATGAGTAATAGGAAGCCAAGATAAGAGATGTTCAGGTGAAGCATATGAATACTTGCATGCCAAAATTTCAACACCTTTTTTTCTTAGGGCTTCTTGATGTGGGAAAAGAGGAGTATGTTACAAGTAAAACACTGAAGTAGACTGTTTAAATGTTAAATTTTTAAGAGCAGATAAACTTTTTTTCTTTTTTAAGAACACTAAGTAGGTTAAGATTGTTAAAAATAAACATATGAATATTTCTTTTAAATAAAAAAGGTTGTTGGCATCGAGTGCCCAGAAATGAGCTACATTTTAAACAAGTTAAATCTGTCTTTCTAATTTTTCCTTCTGATCTCCTTATGAATGCTTCCAGTTTGGGAACACTGGTAATAAAATACCATTTAGAATTCTTTGAAATGACTGTGAGACAAGAAACCATTTTCTTTTTCATGATTTCTGAGTTTATGTTGAACATAAAAAACAAGGGACAAATTAGGTCAATATTGTAATGCTGTAATGCTGGCAGCATGTAATGGAATGACATTTTGGCTGCAAGCTAATGGTGAAGATCTGCCAAGCCATTACACTGGAAGAAAATTCATCATTAAGTAACATGTTCCTGAAAAGTCTGGTGTGTTATAGCTTAAAAAGATAACAGGACCATTCACAAAATATTCCAGTCTTTGTCATTTGGGTAACACTACTTCCAGTTGTTCAGGACTTTCTATAACTTCAGTTTGTTTCTGTAAGAGGTTTCTGTTTAAAGTTACCTTCTTATGTCCTTTTCATTCTGGAAAAGAGCTCCTGCATTCTAGCATGGTTCAATGAAGATGACATCTGGATTTTTAACATCTATCATGTGTTCTGCTCAGCCTGGGTGAATAAAAGAGAAAGAACCGTGTGTTTTCAGAGTATTATTAAAATTTGTTGTAATATTCAGCATCTGTGCAAGCATATATTTTGTGTGACACATTTATTTGTAAGGATTATATGTGTTTTCAGCCACAAGTATAATAGCTACACTGGAGGAAATATAAAAATGGGTTCTTTGTTATGAGATTTTGAACATGGTTGACAGTGGCAGTAATAGACCCTGTCATAGAAGGCCACCAAATTTGTCAGGTATGATTTGCCCTTAGTGAAGCCAAATTAGCTGCCACCATTCACCTCCTTGTTTCACGTGTGTCTTTGCAAAATTTCCAGGAGGATTTGTTTCCATGATCTTTCTGACCTGAGGTGAGGCTGAAAGAGCTGTAGTTTCCTGTCTCTTCCTTATTTCTTTTTTTGTAAGAGGGGGTTACTTCTCCCCCTTTCCAGTTAGTGGGAGCTTCAGTGGACTGACATGACTTCTCACATGCCATGGGTAGTGGCCTAGCCCATTCCCTCAGCACAAGCAGATGCATCTCATCAGCTCCCGTGGACTTGTGCACCTTCAAGTTCCTTAGATGTTCTCCAGCCTGATCCTCTCCTGTAGTGGGCAATTCTCCATTCCCCCAGTTCCCACATTTGCCTTCTGTGACCTGGGCATTGTGGCTGGAGCACTTGTCCGTGAAGACCAAAGGCAAAGAAGTTGTTGATGGCCGCAGCTTTCTCCCTGTCCTGCGTAGCCTGGTCTCCCAGTTTGCTCCAGAGAGGGCCCACATTTTCCCTAGGTTTCCCTTTAGCACTGACGTACTTTTCCTGTTGCCCTGGCCAATTTTAATTCTGTCAGGGCTTCTGTCAGCTTTCCTAACATGATCTCTGGCTGCTTGGACAATTTCTGTATTCCTTCCAGGCTACCTGTTCCTGTGTCCACCCTCTGTTGGACACAGGAACGCCTGTTGGCTTCCTTTCTGAGTTTATCCATGAGCTCCCTGTTCATCCCTATAAGCCTTCTCTCATTTTTTCTTGACTTCCTCTTCATTGTGATGTTCATTCCTGAGCTTGGCAGAGGTGATCCTTGAACACTAACCAGCCTTTTTGTGCCCCTCTTCCCTCCAGGGAATCATAATCACTCCAAACAAGTAAAAATTGTACCTTATGACTTGTTTATTAGTTTTATCCCCTCTGCTTCGTTTCAGATTTACAAAGCAATTGTTAAGTGACTGGCTGCAACATGTTTCAAGCGTTTTTCACTCAGAAAGATTGCACTAGATAATTTCCTTTTTGTTCCCTGTTTGCAGCATCTCTTGAGTTTGTTTTATGATGTTTTGTTGTTTATAAGACCTAATTTGTTGTAGCAATGAATATTGGGATTGCATGACAAGGATAAAACATTAGAATAGAACAGTTTTATTTATACCAAATCAAGGATGTAATAAACTATCCAAATGAGTTTTCACATTGCCTATGAATTTTCTGAAGATTACATGAAATATTGCCCTCAGAAATTACACTGATCATGTCAGTGAAATGGAATAATGTTTTTATACCTTCTCAAGAAGTTTAAATGGGACTGAATTTTAAGATAAATGCCCAGAAAACATAATAAGAGAAGAGAGATAAATGTAGAACAGGATTGAGAAAAAAATTAGAACATTTATTAACTGAAGCAAAGTTTTCATTAACAACTGCTTTTGATTTAAATGTGATTACTTCTTTTTCACCTTCAACCTCACTCAATAACTGGTATTCATATTTTTAGTAGTGAAGATTTTGCCTTCAACCCAGAGTTAGAAACCACTGTCTGTCCCACAGGTTAACACATTTCAAGGCTGCAGCCCGATCTCAGTTGGTGCATTGGGCTCCTTCCAGCAGGCGTTCCAGTGCGTGACTGAATCCCAGTGCCTGCCGTCTTGGCAGCTGACGCATTTCCAAAGCCAAGCTGCTTCCTTTGCTCTCTGCAGCTTCCATCTTGCAAATGGTTTGAGGTCTGTGTGGGTGCTGCCAGCAGGACATTGCTAACTGGTTGATAAGATTTATTCTGTAACTGACTGCTAGTTCTTTGTGGGTTTTATGCAAAATTAAGTCTTTGTGGGGTGTCATAGCCAATTACTAGCTGGATACTGCCTTCCATTTTTGGTTGATGTTTACTTAGTAGGAAAATTTACATATAATTGAAGTATGACACATCAAAAGTCCCATGATGAAGTAGGTAGGATTAATCTCAGAGTCTTGAAACACAACTGCCTGTGCCATTATTTTTCTGTCAACCTAGTAAAAATGAAAACCAGAATGTGTTCCCCAAGTCAAGGTTTTACATTAGCAATCACATTTGGAACTGATGCTAACATATTGGAAATTATCCAGTATTGGCTATGTGGAAAATGCAAACAATAGTGATGCCTAGGAGGAGATGTTTTTCAGCTTCACCTTTGTGACCAACACAGATTTAATAAAATCCATAGGTATCTGACAGCCAAGTACTTCTGATCCTAAACTGCTAGGGACCTAGGTCTGTGTGAGGAACCTAAGGCTGACGTTAGAGCTTAGTGCCTCAGAATGGGATGAGAATGGGATGCAGGATCAACAAACCAGAAGGGGAGACTGGGGAGCAGGGGGAGGGGAGGAGAGCCTACAAGCTTTTCAAGCTTTCAATTCTGCTGATTTTTAAAGGTTCTTGGCTATTAAATGCAGTCAAGTTTTTTCACTATTACTGACCAATGAAATTCTGCATCACGTCTGTTATATAAGATTGTATAATTTTGATTTATATCCAAACATGCAAATATATTTTCTGAACAAACTCTTAATTCCCATGTCGTAAGGAGGTATACTGTCTTTAGGAGTTCTGTGCTTTCTAACACAGACAAAATCCTTTTTCTGATTCACATTTTTATTCCTTTAAGCAAAGCATTTTTATTTGACATGGTTAGCATCCCTTGGGAGAATGAGAGAAGCAGATACTGATCATTCATTTTACGTGTGAGCGCTCTGTAATTGGGAGCTATTATGTAGAGGGCAGATTGCAGCTGCGGTGACATGACCACTTTAAAAAGATTGTTTACAACTGTGCGGTCAGATGATCAGAAATTGAACCAATTACCACTTTAAAAACTGCTGTCCAATATATTTGCATACATTATCCTAGCCACTTGTATCTGGTTTAGACTGAAGGGCTGGGAATAAACACATGGTCATGTAATGCAGTCCAGTTGATGGGCAATGTCTGGTGATCATCTGTCTGTACAGTTGTCTGTGGGT